TCTGCACATTTATTTTAAAATACTCAATGTCAAGCACACTGTGGATTGATTTAAAAATGAAAAAACTGAAGCAACATAAGGAAACATCACATACTGGTTTTCTGAAGAATGAAGAGGATGCCAGTACCTAACTCTTGGCTTCTTATTAGTGTCTTATTTTTGCTGTAACAAAATATACCAAATTTAATAGCTTAAAACAATACATATTTATCCTCTTACAATTCTGGCGGTCAGTAGTCCAACTCAGGTCTCACTTGACTAAAATTAAGATGTCGGCAGGGCTGTGTTCCTTCTGGAAGCTCTAGGGGAGGAACCATTCCTCCAACTCCAAAGCCAGCAACAGCCAGTCAAGTCTTTCTCGCAGGGCATGGCTCCAACTCTTCTACCTCCCCCTTCCATGTTTAAAGGACCCGCGTGATTACATTGAGCCCGCCTGGATAATCTTATTTTAAGATCAGCTAATTGGCAACCTTAATGCCATAAGTAACACCTTACTTAGTTCCCCCTGCCATGTAACCTAATATATTCACAGGTTCGAGAGATTAGGATGAGGATGTCTTTGGAGGCCCACCATTATTCTGCCTACTGCAGCTTCCCACCCTCCTCCATTGGGAACACCTACCTACATGAAAGATTTTCCTGTCTGTTTTTAATAGGTGTTTATGATGATTTTAAGCTTTTACATGCAAGGCGAAACTCACCAGTCAGTGGACCTCTGAGCAAGCCTTAGGGAGGGCCAGGCCTCCCCAGCACCTGAGAGCTGCAGAATAGTAACATGTAAAGTGGAAAACTGAGTGAACACACAGCAGGAAAGGCGAAAAACACCATGTGGGGAACAGAACCCAGAAGAGAAAAGTCAGTGTACCTGAACTCACAAGAACCAAACCCAGCTCCTCCCCAACATGCCCCCCAGCAGCTAAAATGAGCCTCATCATCACCATCTTTACTGCAGGCAACTCGGGCCCTTCCTCAGTGCCCACCAATGCTGACTCTTGGATGGTCTGTGTGTGCGTGCATGTTTAAACAAACAAATGCATTTTAGTTACCTGATGTTCAAAGTGATGGAAGGGATGGGATGTGACCTGTGACAGCAAGGAAGAGGCTGAAAACCCATCAGAGCAGTGGAGGCTAACAGGCAGAGTTCTCCAGACCAGTCAAGTGCAGCACAAGGGCAACCATGGAGGTTCTCCCCCTCTCCATGATGCCACCTTCCCATGAACCATTCCCAAACTCAGGCAGGGTTAAGCAGCTCTAGGCCAACCCTGCACATGCCTCTGCAGCCCATCTGGCTGGGACCCGATGCCCCAAGTCAGCCCACAAGGTTTCTGCCTGGATCCCAGCCTGGCATCTCAGCGCTGCCAGCACGTGGGGCCCACTCAGCTCTCACCCTCTCCTGAACCAAGCATGAGGGGCCTGACGACCAGCCCCAACCCAGGGATCATATGCTGCCACTTGTCACACTTGTTCTGACTGGACTATACAGTGATTTTTTTTTAAAAACGGGGATATAATTCCCATACCATACAATGCACCCTTTTAAAGCATACAATTCCAATTGGTTTTTAGTACAGTCACGCGTTGTGCAACCACCACGTTGTGCATCTATCTAGTTCCAGAACATTTTCATCATCCCAAACAGAAACCCTGTATCCATTAAGCATTTTCTCCCCATTTCCTCTCACCCCAGCCCCTGGCAGCCACTAATCTACTTTCTGTCTCCATGAATTTGCCAACTCTGGACTTTTATATAAATTATGCTTTCAAGGTTAGCATCATGTATTTTAAAAATGTGGTTTGGAATGTTTTAATATAATAATCACTAACAGAGCTTACCTGGAGCCAGGTGCTGTGTTAAGCACTTTATACGTTTCTACTCACCGGATCCTAATAACAACCCCATGAGGTGGATAGTGCTGTTATCCCCATATTACAGATGAGGAAACTGAGGCAGCAAGAGGTTAAGTGAATTGCCCAGAGTCACATTAGCACTGGACAGGCGTGCTTTAAAGCTGTGGCCACCAGTAAGCTGGGCCTCTCTTAAGGGTACAGGCACTCGGCTTGCCAGCCCACTCACCACACTTGTTCTTGGCCACTTCTCACATTTCTATGACCTGCCTGATGCCTGAAAGTATCTGAGTTCATGATCCCTGCCGGCTTTGGTAATTCAGATGAACCTGAGTTCAAATCCAGTTCTACCACAGACTGTGATCTCGGGTAAATTCCTAAACCTCTCTGGACCCCACGTTTTCATCTGAGAAATGGGTTACCACCCAGCTGCTTTTCAAGACTGTTTGCAAAGAACCATTATGGACATCAGGAGGTGGTATGGGTCACAGTACCAATGGTCTAGGGTAAATGCAAGTGAGGCACCGAGGGCCTGGCACATGAAGGCATTGCAGAAATGGAGCCTTGGTTATGACTACTACCCACTCACACCACTGAGAGTCTTCTCCCCGCTGCTCAAAAGAACAGCTTCCCACTGCTGGAGGCACCTGCAGGTGACATACCTGTCCTCGGAGGATTTTTCAGAACTAGTAAAATACACAATGGATGGAAAATCCCTCTGTAATCAGAACAAGGATCACTTGTTAACTGCCCTTTAAACTCCTGGGAGCCTAAAGCCAGTCTCTACTTGCCAAGAGCCCGGAAGGATTTCAAAAATCATGCTCGGAGGTTCTTCTGTGTGCTTTCTGAGACCTGCTGTGGTTTCTCAGTTACACCCCACTACTGAGGACCAGGACCAAGGATAAAGTGGCTCTCAGACAAGCCTGCCCAAAGCATTGCTATAGGACTCAAGGAGAACCTGTCAGCGCCTAACTGAGCACCTGCGTTGAGTTCATTCATTCTGACACAGCAGCTCTGACACTAACCACCGGGATCCAGGAGATGGCCAATGCAAAAATCTTGTCATCTTATTTTGGATAAAAGATCCAGAAAACTGGGTCCCTATCTTGAAATACAAGCTTCTTCTGTTTAGCTTCGTAATTTAAACAAAAAGAGATCACTGGGTAAGTCTTATCTGGGTTGAATCCTGGCTCTATCTCTTCCCAAATATGTGACCAGGGTCCAGGGTCCCCTCATCTGGAAGGCAGCGATATAATACCTAACTGCCAAATTGTTGAGGCCATTTCAAATAATATATGTGAAGTACCTGGCACACAGAAAGCACTCAGGGGATGATAGCTGGTGGCAAGGCTGCAGATGTAAGACTAACATATGCCTGGTCCCCTCAAGATGCTTTTGTAATTGTAGGTGTTACATGGATGAGTAAACAGAGGTTCAGAGAACTCATTTTCCCAAGACCACTAAGTGATAGAAGTAGGGCAGCCTCCAGGTATGAAGGCATTATGCCTAGTGCTTAAAGGCAGCGAGTGTGGAGTCAGACAAGCCTGGGCTCAAATGCTAACTCTGCCAACTAATCACTGTGTGACCTGAGGCAAGTTACTTCACCTCTCTGTGCCTGTTTCCTCATCTGTAAAATGGCTGCAATGGTTCTCAGTATCCTCCACCACCTCCTAAATCAACTAGTGTAACAGGCAACAGTGAAGACCTGAGACCTACTCATTTATATTCCTCATCTTCTCAATATGCATACCATGTTGAAGACTTTCAGAAGATAGCCTTAAAGGGAGTATCATTTTTCTAACTTTTGTTTTGCTTCCACTTTCAAAATTTCCATGTCATTAGATGCAAGTCAGTCAAGTGATCACACTTTTCCCCATAAAGGCATCGTAGACAAAATAAACATTTTATCCCCAAAGGGAAAAATGAAAAAGAAAATTCAAAAACTCTTTACCCCTGCAACTTGCTTTATTTTTCTTCACAGCATTGACAATACATTATATAGATCTTGATGTTTGTGCTTGTTTTCTCCCTCCCACCAGAACATCAGCTCCATGAAGACACCTTTGCAGAATGTTGAATGGCCCTTCTTGTATATACTCCAGGAGGGTTGCCTGCATGAAAAATATTTTTGCATCTTTTGCAAAACTACCTTGGCTAGTACCGTCCACTGTTTTCCAGTGTTCCTTTATGTGACATAAATCTTACTAGAACTCAGTAGTAGGACAAAGTTTGCTTTTTGCTGAGCTCATGTTTTTCACTAGCTGGATTTGCTTTCATTGTCAGGAAGCTCAGAGCACAATTCCAGGCTCGATTACAGTGTTTTCCTTAATCCGTTTTTCTGATGTGGACATGGGATATAAATAAGTGTAAGAAGATTCTGTTGGTAGACGTTTAAGATCCTATTTTTAACCACAGCCTACATTTATTCTAAGAAGATGTTTTTCAAACTTGACTGTGCCTGCGAATTACCCAGGGATCTAGTTAAAATGCAGAATCTGACTCAGTAGGTCAGGGGTGGGGCGTGAGATGCCGCAGTTCTAACAAGCGCCCAGGTGATGTCTATGCAGCTGGGTCCCGGACCACATTTCGAGTAGCAGAGGGTCTAAGAAACTTGCTCCCTTGTTTCAGCAGAATTTCTCTGTCCCCCTCCTTGGCAAAATATGACTAAAGTCTCAAAAACTGGAGCGGACACCAGAAGCACTTAAGGAGCTGGTCAGACCCACACATCGCCGCCCCCCGCCCCTTCCCCGTCAAGATCCCAAGGAAAGGGGGTAGGAATCCGCCCAGGAAACTCCCCAGGTGCTTCTGCTGTAGGTGGCCTCGAGCAGATTTTGAAAATGACAGCTCTCTTCAAGGTGTTTCCAAAGGTAAACTCCTGTGGACACCTGCTTGTTCAGGATTTTAGCGGGGGACCATCCCGCTGTTTCTAGCCCAGCACCAGCAGGGATGCCGTCCCTCCTCCTTTCCTGCAACTCGGACCGCGGCGGGGACTGCCCTCGCGGGCTCAAGGCTCGGACTCCCGCCCCTCCGCCTGCACAGCCCGGCCCGCCGCGGCCTCCACCGCAGGCCCGCAAGGCGGGGGCCGCGCCGCTCATGCGCAGAGCGCCCCCCGGGTCCGCAGGGCGGGGTCCCCGCGCGCCCCTCGCCCGCCTTACCTCTCTGGACCAGGATAGCCAAGGAGAAAGCGAGGCAGACGAGGAACGCCGAGCGCCAGGCCATGGCTGGGAGCAGGCGGAGGGCTTCCAGAGGAGCACAGTTAGCGTTAGAGCGCCCGAGGGGAAGGCCGAGGAGGAGCCAGGACGGAGGAGGAGCCCCGCCGCCACTGCAGGGCCGCGCCCAGAGCCGGCGCGCGCGCAGGGCGGCCCCGGGAGGGTAGAGGGAGGGCTCGCTCCCGTGCCGGCGCCTGGGGGCTCCTGGCTGGGGCAAGGCCGAGGGCGGGGCCTAGGCCTAGGGGCGGAGACACTGGGCGGGGGGCGGGGCTGGTGCGCGGGGCGGGGCCCGCGGGCACCCGGTGGGTTGGCGGGTCTGGGTTGGGTAGGGCACCAGCTCGCTGTCTGCAGACCAGGTCCCGCCCCGGCGCTCGGAGGTGGACCCCGCGAACCCCGAGCAGTGAGTCGCCAGTAGCCGCGAAGCGGGAGGTGGCGGGGTGAGGCTGCTCGCTGATTTCCACTGGTGCGCCCGATTCCTCCCGGGCCCGGGGCGGGACCGAAGGCGACACACAGGCCAGCCGCGCCTGCCAGCCGGGTGACCTTGGACAGGGCTCTTCCCCATTCTGGCCTTCGTGTTCTCGCGGTGAAAAGCTGTTCCCTAGGGGCCCTTCCAGCCACGGCTCTAATACCAAGCACCCGCGCTCTTGCCCCCTCCCCTCCCTTCCCTGCTGGCAGCAGCAGTGGAGCCCTGTCCAGAGACTAAAGCAAAGGGCAAACAGCGGCACGTCTCGGGGAAACAAGGCCGAGGCCGGGGACGCCGGGGCAGGTGGGGGCGGGGGGCGGGACGGTCAGGAGCACTACGGGCTCGGGAGACTCAGGGGTGGGGACTGGGTCAGCTCTCCCGAAGCTTTGATGAATGCGCTAGAAGTGCAAGTTCACATCTGCAGAGTAGATCTGAAAGACGTGCTTAATGACCGACAAACGCGCTGCAGTCCTTTCCCATGAACCCCCGCAAACGGAGTCCATCTCCCAGACCCGCAGAAATCAGATTCCAACACTGCCCGGACCAGCAAGATGCAGCCTTTGAAGTGAACGCTCCCAAAAACAGCCCGGGCTGCTACCAGCTTTTGAGGACAGGAAGTGCCGCTACTCTCCCGAGAGGCAGAGTGGCGGTGTGCGCAGGTCCCTGCCATTATGTGGCACAGGCTGCCCTGTGCCACATCCTCCTTAGCCAGCGGCTACTACCAACTCCCCCCAGTATCCGTTCGGCAGCCCCCCCACCTGCCAGCACCGCCCTGCCGGAGAACCCCCCAGTGGCTCCTGCCGACCCCTCAGCCATAGTGTGGGGCGGGGGGCTCGTTGAGATAGAGCCGAGATTTTTCCCTTGTGGCTTACATCTACTGCCCTGAATCCTGGGGCTGCAAAAACAAAACAGCATATAAGGAGTAGATCTTCCCATTTTCCCGGCATTGCTTATTCTATGGCACTAAGTAGCTGGAGAATTAACAGAAACAGCTGGTGGTTATTGAACTCACACTATATATACGTGAAATATTCCAGGCATTTTGTCCTTACTTGTTATTTCTCATAACGACCTTATGTAGCACCTGATAACGAGGGGAAAGGAGCAAAATGGAGATTCCTTGAGGTTAGGGAGTTAGCCAGGTCCAGCCTCATAAGTGTCAAAGAGAGAAGGGGATCACTAGGAACCCCAGCAGGTAAATGGCTAAGAACATGTGCTTCAGAGCCAGACCAGGTACAAATCGTGACTAGACCCAACAAGACTGTGCTAGGGGTCAGATGAGATGGTGGAAGGTAGGTGGCCTGGCACACAGTGAGAGAGGCGGATGTTACTTGTCAATCTTGTAACAGCTAAATAAATACTGGCCACTGTGAGGATGGGATGTTACTGTGTAATTCCAGGCTGGGGACATGCCCCCAACTTTTCCACTAAGTCTGAGTGCCCTGAGCCATTCCCTTGCCCTCTACCAGGAAGGCACTAGATTTCCTGGACTTTGAGAGCCCTTCAGATTCTGATGGGTGAACTCTGGAGCATATACTCTCATCTACAAGGAGGAGGTGAGGAGAGTACAGCTTCTAAGTTGAGGCTACCTCAGTCAGCATACAGTGGACACAGTCACACCCAACTGAAATGTGCAATATGACCATCTTCTAGAAGAGGGGTAGTTCACAAACTGCAGTCCACGGACCAAATCTGCCCCCAACCCCACCTATTTGTATACCCTTCGAACTAAAAGTAGTTTTTTTGCATTTTTATATAGTTGAAAAAAAATCATATGACATGGCAAATTTATACAAAATTCAAATTTCAGGGTCCATGAAGTTTATGGGAATACAGCCACATCTATTTGTTTCTGTATTTCCTGTGGCTGTTTTTGTGCTTCCACAGTGGAGTCGAATAGTTGCAACAGAGACCAGGGGACCCACAAAATCTAAAATATTTACTATCCAGCTCTTTACAGAAAAAGCTTGCTGACCTCCATCCCAGCAGATTGAACCATGGCAAGGATGAATATTAACAGGTGATAATGTGGGACCTAAAAAGTGTGCTCCTCTAAAACACAGCATGAACTCAGAAGATGACCTGTTTTGATACAGGAATAAGAACCAAGAGAAAAAGACAATCTTTATCATTGTGGCCAAAAGATGCCCATTCAAAAAAAAAGTTTGTTAATAGAAATATTGCAAATGTTTGAGATCAGTTATCCTACCAGATACCTCTGCCTTTGTAAAAATGACTCATCTAAGTCCTGGTTTGTCTCTCAGTCTCTTGTAAGTTAGGTTAATGTGAGTCAGATTAGAGTCTGCCAGGCTGAGGACCTGCCTGGGGCTTTGTGAGCCTCTCAGTCAGACACTGCTAACCCTGCTGAATTGCAACTGAACAGGGAGTTGACTTACAGAAAATTCTGCACTTAGAAACCATGATCTGTGCGCCACCCCCCATACACACACATACTCTCACTGCCAATGGACATGGGTTCTGGGACTGACTCCTGGCCAAGCCTGCCTTATCTACAGATGACCACCTTGTTACCATCCTCTTGGTATACCTAGTCTCTCCCTGAATTTCTCATGCATGCCCTGAAAATTGCCACGAATTGAAAAACCACTTGGCCTGACAAACTCCTCTCTTAAAATGTCCACCTTTTCCCAGCTCTGGCCTAAGCAGAGAGGTGTAGCATGCAAATGGCCACCAGGCTAGCCTGGGAGTACAGGAGAGGCACAGATTCCAAACAGCTACCTGTCATCTCGCAGTCCTGGGCCTCAGCAGCCTGCCAGAACAAATGAAGTCCCATTGCCATCACCAGCTCTGAGTTCCTGTTCTTGTTCTCAACTGACACAAAACCCCTCCTAGCAAAGTCTCCACTCTCGGTATTGCAGGGAGTTCAGAAGGGGGCCTCCCTCGCCCAAGGCCAAAATCAGCCCCACCCAGGGCCCCCACCACTGCTGAAGGAGAGCACCATTGTCCATGGTGACAGTGCCCTTTCCTGATATGCCACTGCTGCCACCACTGATCCTAGGGGACCAGAGCTGAGAGGGAATCCACGTGGGGGGTGGGGGAGGGCAGGGACAAAGGTCTTGCCCCAACCCTGGGTCACCCTGTGTCCCCTGAGACCCAAGCAGCTCAGCTGGTGCTCAGGCTTCAGCAGACCTTCCACTGGCTTCCTCTAACCTGTAAGCCTTGGCCTTAATCCCTCTAACCAAACCTGTTTGAGAGCCCAGACTGGGGAGGGGGTGGGAAAAGGACAGAACACTCTCCCTTCCCACCCCACTCCACACAGTGCTGGCCAATTAAGAGACAAAGACTCCCTGCATATCAATGGGAATGAGAACTGCTCTGGCCAGCTGGGGGAGGGGCACTCCGGGCTCTACGAAAATTTCCCCAAATGCCTGACTTCACACTCAAGTTTCACCAGTCCCAGGAGAAGTAAGAAAAATGAAGTTGTTGTGGCAAGTTTTCCCCCATAAAACTAGAGTATTGACCTTTACTCTGAAATCATGGATTTTTTTGGTATAAAAAAGTCCTTTATTACATGAAAAGATGGTAGTGTTTTGTTTAATGTGCTTACTTAGCAGAATAAAAAATTGGCAACCCTACCCATCCTCAAATAAAAAAAAAAAAAGAAATCTACTCATTGGTGAAATTAATGAGTCTGGGAACCACTGGCTATCCCAGCAATATTCAGCCCACCCAGGGCCCTGACACATAGGAATTTTTGGAACACACCCCATATGTAAACAGAAGCCCTGAAAATGGATTCTAAAACAATGTTCCCTCTGATATTTCTTGAGTTGTAAACAGATTATCCTTTAGTCTCCTCCGCCTCTCCACAGACTTCTCAGTCTCTCCTCTCTTGGATTTTATAGTATGGCAAGGTCAAACTGGGCCTTGAATGCCATGCTAATGAGCAAAGATTTGGTCCTGAGAACAGAGGGAAGCCATTGAAGGGTTTCGAGCTTTAAGCAGCAGTGCCAAGGAAGCGGTCCTCAGGAGTGCTGCTGGCATCGTGTACTGGGAGAGGCTGGGAGCCGTGGGGCTAGAGAGAAGGGTTTGGATTCAGGGTGTGGATGTGGTGGAGGTAGCAGTGGCCATAGAAAAGAGGGCCTGAATGTGTCTGGCCATGTTCTCAGGGCAGGGGAGAATAGGAAGTCCAAGGGACTCAGGTGGTGCCCTGTAGGGAGGAGGCAGATGACAGGCAATTATAACTCAGTGTGATAAAGGCAGTTAAAGAGGGGAGCACAGGGCACGGTGGGGACACAGGGGAGCAGCCCCTTCCCAGCTGCATGGTCAGGGTAGGGCCAACTTAAAGGAAAAGTAATAGTTCACCGCACAGATGGCGGAGTGTTCCAAGAGAACTGCTGAAGTGAAGGCCCAGAAATGAGAGGAAGTGCGACAAATGGAATTCGAGTTGGCAGGAACCAGGTCATGCAGGGGTTATAGACACGATGAAGTTTGGACTCTACCCAAAGGCAACTGTGAACACCCAAGAGTTTTAAGTGGGGATGGGGTGGCGCTGCAGGGTGACAAGATCAGATTGGCATCTCATGAATCCATTTCTCCAAGGAGTCTCAGGACTCTGTTGTACAGACCCCACAAGATGCTGCTCTAGGTGACAGGAGGCTTTAAAGAACGAAGAGCCGGGGAAGGTGGAGGGGAGATTGGGATG